AGAGCACGGTTTGTGTTTTTGCCCCTTCACGCAACAATTTTTTCTCTCCATAGAAACGTGAATATCTCATTCATTTTTGAGCGTACATGAACTGATGATAAGTATAATTTGTAGCTAAAGTCGAGTGCTTTCACGTAATAATAAGTAATTTTAATTATTTCTGGTTAGTGAAAAAATTTTGATGTGTGGCGTGAAATTTGGTAACTGGGGGTAAAGTGGGACACTTTGGTGGGGGTAAAGTGGGACAGTTTATTTTTGCATTTTATGCATTTCACGCCACATCTAAGGCATACAAACAGTGTTTATCTTTTAATTTAATGTCGATTTTGAATGTTCGTTGTAGTTTTATAGGTACATATCTATAAATTTGTGCCAAAGAAGAATCGACGTTGAAATCGGGTGAAACAGCAATGTCCAGTGAACCAAAATTATGATCATTACAGCTAGGTGGTATCAAATATTACCGGAATACCGAGAGACTATCGCGACTCTAATAAGATACTGCGCATCATCATTTCTTTATTTTTCCAAAAACCGGTAATGCATTTTTCCCTTCATTCAGTATAATGCCATTGCTTCCTAGTTTTCGAAATAAATTGCCAGTGAAAGTAGATAAAAACAGTCCGAAATTGTTTGAAATAGATGAATTCTCCGAATTATACATGAAATACCAACAAATATTGAGATATTTTGCTGAAAAACATACAAAATGGTGGCTGTCCCAGATTACCCCCACCTATGTCCCAGATTACCCCCACTGTCCCAGATTACCCGCAAGGGTAAGCCCTTCGGAAAATTAGCGCCCCTTCCACCTCAGACGGGGCAGGAAAAAAATGAAGTTTGCCAAAAGTTGCCTTTTTACAATACCTTTTCTACGGTATATAAATTTTTTCGATTTCCTTCAATAGCACCCGAGTTCCGACTATTTGAAAAAAAAGTGTCCCAGATTACCCCCACCCCCAGTGATTAGCGAGAACTCAGGTCAACGACCCGGCAACAGAGAAAAGCCGAAGTCTGGCAATGGATAAGAGAAGCAATTGCACTATTAATTTAAGGCGATATGAGATGGGATAAGGCCAATTGGTTGTTATTAATCATACTATTAGAAAAAGCACATACTTTGACACTTCGGCTGCGTACAAGTACATACTAGATTAAAAACACTTTCTCCAACAACTCTGATGGATAAGCATACAGTTACATATCCATAGAAGTTATAAAATCTTGAGTCATGAAAGTTGATTAGACTTAAGGAATTTTCCTATTATCATTTGAATTTGATCCCATTTGATGGATTTTTTTTAGCACATTTTCATCATTTTTTTCCTGTACTAGCACAAACTGCACCGGTCAGTGGGAAAAGAAAAAATAAGAAAATTAAAAGACGATACAAAACTTATTTTTGTTTATATTGAATTTATTTTTGTGTGTTTCATTTTTTTTCATCTTCACAGTTATCTACAAAAATGGTCTTGTATATTCTCCATAATGATTTTTTTTAATAATAATTATTTAAATATAATTGTTGGCTTAAATTCCTAGTTTTTCATATATGTTTGTGTTTTTTTGTTGTTGTTGTTACTTAACTTCCATTTTATGAATCCTAATTTAATGTACGATTTCTCGTAACTGTTTATATACATGAACTGCGATCGTTACTTTTTTTTCTTTTCTTTTTTTTGAAATAGTATTTACTTTTGCGAAAACCAAAGAAATTTGCATGTGTGTCCATTCAAATTTAGTCGTTGAATCTATTTCATCATCCAAAAAAAGAAACCAAATTCATTTTCATTTTCTTTTATTTTTTATTTTGTCATAATATTTTGATCATTCTGGATCATCGGGATTTATTGATTGATTGAAGGTATTTACAAGTGTCCAAGGTGTCTATCCTATGCAGATATAAATTAAACGATGAATAGAGGAAATTATATATAATATATATGCGATAAGTGAGTGTAAGCAATTTTTTGTGCTTATACATGAAATGGTTTGTATAATATTTCTGCTTAACGCTATTTTTGTTTACATATATATTCCTTGTATCTCTAACATGAAGAAAATTCGAAAGTTTTTATCTTTTTGTTTTCATTATACATCGATCAAGTATTTTACAAAGCAGATCATTTCTTTTTGTTGTTTTCTTTTGTTTTCTATAAAGTAATCTACGAGAATTGTTTATTTTGTTTCTACTTTTATGTTATGATCAAAAAAATCGGCGTTCTTGTGCATAGAATGCAAGACAATAGATTTGCATTTGAGTGCTCAAGTCACATTTTGACGTTATTTGTTTCATCTTCTTCTTTTTGTTTCTTTTTTGCATATAATAAATTGGAATTATAAAACTAGAGTTTGAGTGTTTTGTTTTTTTTCTATTGGTATAAAAATGCATTTATTATTTATTGTTGTAGTGAAGAGGGAGAGAATTTCATAGTGTAGTTCGTTCAGTGCTTGTGTTTTATCGTCTGTTTGTCATCAAACTGAATTGCATTAAGTATTTTCATGAAAGAAGAATATTTGCACTTTTATAGAGATCGAACGATTTTAAAATAAAATACTCTTACGAGCTGGGCGAAATAATTTCCATTCAAATCGATTTAAATGAAAATGTCAAATTGTTTTATTCAATTTTCTCAACAATATTCTGTTTTTCTCCTTTTTTTCCAGTGGTCTGAATTCGATTTATATTTTAAAATAGGTTTTCTTCTAAACCAATGTACAGAAATCAGTTCGCAAAGTAGCTTTGATTAAATTAAGTTTTATTCTTTTTTCCGAAAGGAAATTATTTAATTACAAATAAAATTGATTAAAAAAATTAATTTAGATAAAATAAGTTATAAATTCATTTCATGGTCGATCAAAACCATAATGATTTACTCGATTCCCAATCTTTCTTCGATTTTTTTTTGCGATGTCATCGGTAATGAGATTTTAAATTAATTTTATACGCTCCATTGAAAATTTGCATTTTCTTGGATTCAAATTGGACTACATTTTCCGAGCGAGAAACAAAAAAAGAGATTTGAAATCGAATGTATTTCCAATTTTTTTCTATGAAAAACGAATAATTATCTCTCTATTTTGCCACATGGCAGACAAAAACAAATTTGGTTCTAGACCACTTGTAGTCCATCATGTCTGAGCCTAACTAAATTGTTTTAAAATTGAAATGTCTAGTTACTGGTTTGTGTTCTTATTTCGTGCACTATCGAAATAGAATGCTCGCAGATTTTGATTTGAACTTGCATGTTTGTTTGTTGTTTTGTGTGTGGTCGTCATTTTGTTCAGAATTTTCATCCAATCTCCCTTTTTCTCTTTATCTTGCTTTTGATTCACATTGAATCGAAAATCACTTGTTCATTGTCAAAATCTAGTGGTTTTTTCACATCAATATTTGTTTTTTAGTGTTCTTACGCGATTTCTTCCTGTTAATCTGCCATAATATTGTTATCAATTATGTGTTTTGCTTGTATTATTGAACTTGATTTGGATTGGCACCCGTTTGTCATAAATTTTTGGGTGTATCCTGGCCTTTGTGACATGATCCACTGTCGAATTGTCTGTATTGATCAGTTTCTGTTGCTGCTTCATTGATTTCAAAATCTATTTTCGCTCTCTTCTATCCGTTGAATTCTTCAATTCGACATTGAATCACATCACACTGGCCCCGATTTACATCTTTGAATATATATTCAATTTATCTTTTTCTGAGCCTTATCTATTACAAAATTTACACGAAGATTTTCCATGAAAAGTTTTGAAAAGCACTTTCTAAATGAAACTCCAATACTAGAGGGAGGGTGTGGGGTGTGTGTTATCAATTTTGTGGGCGTCATTAAATTGGTCAGTGTTTTTAATTGGAATTTGAACGGTGCGCGATTTTGACCAAACTAAGCATTTACACACACAACATCGATCTCAACTCGGTCAACTCGAATGCATTGAGAATAAAATAGTTTTTTTTTTCATGTCGATATTAACATTTACAGTTACATTATTATATCACTTTATTGACCCACTGCTGATCGATTTCAAATCAATTTTTTGCCCCGCACATTTTGTAAATGGCATCCTTCTCTATAGTATGTTTTCCATTCGTACAAAAGAAAAACAACTGAATCCCATCCGTCCATTGACAATGTTCATGGTTGTTATTGAAAATGTTAAAGAGGGTTGCGATCACAAGTAGTGTGCATTCACGTGATGCCACTACAAATTCTTTATTTTTATTTCGAAACAGAAGAGAATTTAATTTAGAAAATATTTTTAATAGTTCGTTTGTTTTCTTTTTCTTTTTGTACAAGATACGATTTTGTATATTTTTCTTCTTCATGAATTTAAAATGGGAAAATCCAATTTATTTCACAGACTCGAATTATGTTCATGTGTTTTTGTCATTTTGATAAAAAAAATGTATTTAAAATACATTTGGATTTCAGTTCAAATTTCATATTTTTTCCTAAAAGCTTTCGACTCTATTCGAAGAGAATGGTTTTTTTATGTGTTGGTTTTGTGTTAGTCTCATCGCGCTGGAGCATTTTCGGATGGTTTCATTGCTGGATTCAAGCGGTTTGGCGGCGCTGGTATGGGGCTTGGTTCTTTCGCTCGCAGATGAGCGGCATACATTGCTTTGGCACGTTCTTCATCGGCACGATATGCTTCCATGACGCCAGGTGCGTATCGCAACTGATGCATCGGATCTAATGCGCGATACGGATCGCGGTAGTCTATACCAGGCGTTGGCCATCCGGATGGAGGTGGGCCAAAATGTGACAGTGGCGGTCCTGCCATCGGATGCGTCAAAATACCTCGTCCGAGCTGTAAAAAAAAAAATTGGAACATTTAGTAAATTGAATTGTGAAGGTTTGGTTTTGGATTCGACAAAGGTAGAAGACAAGAACTAACTAAACTGACCGGCGGCATTTGACCTTGCATCATATGTCTGCCAACCATGTAGTGTTGAGCGGCCAGATGTTGTGCATGAGCGTATCTTGGGTCAGGTACAACATTTGGAGGACCACGCATAAGCATTTCTTCTTCACGTTTCGGTTCCTCTTTGATGCGTGACACATCCGAATCGGTGCCATTTCTGAGTGGCGACCGTTCGCGTTGCATCTTTGAATTTTCCGATAAACGTTGTTGCTGCAGTAGCCGCTCTCGTTCAATTCGTTCCATTTCACGGCGCTCCTTTTCACGTCTTTCTCTCTCACGTTCTCGTTCGCGTTGTTCACGTTGCTCTCGTTCTTGTTGCTCTTTGCGAGCTCTTTCCTCCTTTTCCTTTTCTCGCCGTTCCTTCTCTTCGCGCTCTCGTCGCGCTTCTTCTTCACGCCGCTTGCGTTCACGTTCCTTTTCTTCGGCCTCTCTGAGTCGCAACGCTTCTATCGCTGGATCGGGCTTGAATGTCCATGCTGCTGGCGGATATCCCGCAACGGCTCTTGGCAATGGACTGGAAATTAATAAAATATTATTATTGATTGTCACATATACACAATTCAAACGAATTCGTTGAACAGAAACTTACTTTCGCCATGGATCATGCAAAGAGGGAGGTGCACCAATTGGAATATCACGGCCAAAAGCCAGGCCAGGAAAGTTATTGAACGGCGATGCATATCGACCGAACGGTGAAACTGCATTTCCTATTGGGTGGCAACAAATTTTGATTAAAAAATGTGAACGAAAACCAAATGAATACTGATTTTTAATCGACTCTGCCTCCAATTGATTGGATGCAAAAATCAACAACAAATACATTACCTAAATGACTAGTTGGACCACCTAAGAAACCAGATGTATCATATGGTCGGGCAGGCAATCCGGGTGGAAAAGTGTTTGAGAGCTCAGGCGGCCTCTGCAATACACTTGCTGATGGGAATATATGTGAAGGCGGTCGATGCATTTCTGTCGGTGCAGCAGTAGTTTTCGCCAGACTCGGCGCATTCGATGTTTTCTCTGGATTTTCTTTCTTTTGATGATGCAGAATTTCCCAGGCAATTCGAACATGCATCGCATTCCATCGTCCCGGTTTCTGTTAATATTCAATCAAAATAGAAAAAAAAAACATTTAATCATAAAAATTCCAAACGTTTGAAATGATAAGTGAGTTGTGTTAAAACGTGTGTTCAAATGAATGAGATGCTATTTTGTTGCAGGCTTTTTTATTGTTTCTTCAGATCAATTTTTCCAATGAGAATTTTTGTCTTTTTCCAACCAAAAGCATAAATGAACGAAATAAACCGCGAATTTAAACACCGGCGAATAATTTGCAAATAGAAATCAATTCCAAAATGGAATGAGGCACCTACCACTTGTTTTGGTTTAGTGGATTCAACTGCGGGATGCGTTTGAGGCTGCTAAACAAATAAAAAAGCGTAAATGTTTTGTTGGTTATAATGGCCAAGTGAAATAAAAAAAAGGAAACAAAATCAATGTCCAATTGCATTTTTCAAAGCGTTATCCATCGCAAGAAAAGTGTACAAACGAATCAATATCAATGTAAACCCGATTATTCATTTGTGTATGTATGAAAAGAAATGAAAAGATGACAGCAACTGTCGTCGATTTATTTTTCTTCGAACCAGAGTTTTCCAATAATAATGATCGTTGAATGAAAGTGAGGTGAAAATGTTATTGTATGTGTGACTGTTGTTGTTATGATTTTATGGAGTTCGCATGCAATTTTTCAAATGATTCAAAAGACAAAAGAGACGAGAGGTAAATAGAAATAGCTGTGAAAATTTACCTTCGGTGCAAAAGATGTGACATGGTTTGGTGGCACAAATGGCGTTCCCAGGCCAGACGGATGCAGAATGCTTGGTCCATAGCCCGGATATGTTACACCCAAACCCGTTCGATGAAACGGTGAATCGAATTTTGGCATATCCTTGAATAGCGGCGGTGGGAACAATTGATTCTGCTGTTCACAGGAGGAAAAAAGAACGAAAATGAGTAAATTTTTCAACGAAAAAAAAGAAAAAGAAAAACTCAAAAATAGATAAAAAACGAGAAAAGAAGAAAAACAAATCAAGAGTAAAACGTGGACTTACCGGTTGTTGGTGTTGATGTTGATGCAAATGTGTATGCTGATGTTGATGATGATGCAATTCCTGTCGCAGATATGGCGAAGACGGTACCACACTTAGGCCAGCACGATCCAAAAATCGGTTATCTAGTTCACGACGAAGATGGTCAGCTTGATCAGCTATTTGTTTTTTTGTTTGTTTGTTATGATTTGATGCACACACATATACACACACAGGTCAGCGAAGGCACACGCAGCGAAATTGATTTCACAAAAAAATGAAAAATCAATTTTTTTAGTGCTCGCTTCAAAATGAAAAAAGACAATATATTTATGGTAGCATTTAGACTTACCTTTGCTGGATTGAAAGAGAGACTCTGCGGAGAATGGATGTGGAGCGGCTGATGTAACGCTTGCACTCGACGAAACGGGCGGTAATGGTGTCGCAAATAGGGGAGGTGGAAACGGCGAATGTGTAGTTGCTGTCGAATGCAATGACGGCGCCGTTGCAATTGAACCTGGCGGGGGTGTCGGTTTCGTGATTGTATTTGTGATCGCCGGCGACAATTGTGCACTGTTCGCACTGTGGAAGAGAATTAAAGAGACAAACCGTTAAAAATGTGATTTCAGAATCGGTTTTAAATTTTCGTATGCCTTGAAAAAGGAATTTATTTTTTAAAAAATTATGTCCAAATTGTGATCCTTTTTTTCATCTCGTTGATTACTCAATTTTGATTTCAATTCCAAACAATATCAACTCGAATTGGCATTTGTTTTGGTTAAAATTTAGTTAGAGTTGCGGCATTTTGACATCTCCCATATGAAATGAGTCAAATGAATCGCAGAATTATTTCTTCCATTTAGGAAGTCCGTGTGATTTTCGTTTATTTTACCTAGGCCAACTCGATGCGGTTAGTTTTGGATAAGAAAGACTAGATGATGTAACGGCAACACTAGCTGGCGCCGACGATACGATTGTCGATGACGAACTGTTATAAGGCAACACTGATGATGGGCCAGTTGATACGCAAACTGGACCGGCGTATGCTATGCCAGAATTCGGTGTTGATGTTCTAGATAAACTGCTTACATTGCTACTGTAACGATTAGTTTTGATATGAGTGAATGAGAAAAGGGGTTATGGTTCACTTGTGGAAGGAACTCGTTGTTTGCTTGATGATCAATTATTTTAGCGTGATCCGCAACCTGAATGAAATGATTACGTTGATGTGAAAACTATCAACAAAACCTACCTATAACTGTCACGTTCGCGTGATGGGCTATGACCGCGTGGCGAATGACTTTTGGATGTCGAATGAGATGTTTGTTCCCTGAGACTGCTTGACAATGGCGGCGCCTACGAAAATAAAATGAATCGGTTAATAAATGTCCAAAGTTAAAGCCAAAGTAAGATTTCAGTCGACTGATCTTCTTTTTTTCTAAACTTACAGGTGCAGCGGGTTTCTCGGAGCTTTCTGAGTTTGCTGATTTGTCGGAATTTGGAGAGATTCGCCGAACATGTGGATAGTCGCGGCTCGGTTTCGTATCGACTGTTCGGGGTGATGCCGATGGCGATGGAATCGTCGGTGGCGGTATTGGTGCAGTCACTGGATAAGAACTCGGATGGTGAAAACTACCATATGGCCTAGAAATGGTAAAAAGATTCAAATTAATCAACAAATTAAAAAATGCAAGAAAATTTGAAACAGAACTTCAATTCACGGCACAAATGATAAGGTAAAAAGAGAAATACTTACGCATACAATGGATATCCTGGATATCGGTATGATGGAATACCACCATTTGATGCGACTGGAGTTACATTGGTCGTTCCATTTGCGGCCGGTGCAACTGCCGGACTATTTGTTCGGCCGGTTGAATTTTCTGTACTCGGATGCACTGCCGGCGCAACAGCCTGAAAAATGTAAACATAAAATTAGTATATAAAATAGAAAAACTTCACCAAACTGCAATCAAAAGGCATGCACGAACCTGCAATGTGGCTGGTGGCTGGGTTGATACCGATCCAATAATTTGTGTTGCGCTAGTTTGTGTTGTACCATTTGTTATCGTTGACTGATTGCTAATTGGCGACGTTATCAATGGCGTCGAATGCGTCGTACTAGCTATCGGTGGTATGGTTGATGGGGTGAAACCATTGGATAACGTTACCAACGGACTTGTCTGCTGTGACTGAGTTTGTGAATGTTGATGTGTCGTCTGAAGACAAATAACATAGAATCTCATTAATATCACAAAAGACTAGCAACTACGACTCGCACTGAATATGCGAGATGACACTTACCGGAGACGTTAATTGTTGTGGCTGTGTTGGTTTACCAGGTGATGTGCTTGTACTCGTCGAAGTTGATGGCACTTTCGCTGGTATCGATTTAACCAAAGCACTTGGCGCTGTTTGACTTGGTGAGATCGGCGAAGTTGAGTTTATTGGACCATTTGAAACCTGCGAACAAAACGAAAATGCGAAAAACTTTAGTGTTGATATCAAAAACATGGTTTTTATCCAGTTATTGTTGATAAACAATAATAATTTTCCTATTGCATGCCAAGGCGCTGTAATTTTCACTTCTGCCGAGAATGGGAAATATTTCCAATTTCAACGCTGCCACAACGCACGAAGCGAACGGAATTCATGATTGGCAAAGTGAAACGAATATGAACCCGATTTAAATAATTTCAAAAGTTAACTAAAAACTTTGGCGTTTGCATTTCAGTCGTTTGGCACATTTCGAAACTTCACATAAATAAAGTTTCTCCAGAGGGATAATAATAAAAATTTTGCAAAAGAAGCGAAAACGAAAACAATTAAATAAACAGAAAAACAAGAGAGATTCACGAAACGCAAACATTCACTCTCTCTCTCTCTCTCCTATTTTCTCTTTGTCTCTCTTCGGCACTCGCCAATATCTAAGTGAAAGAAAGAGAGTCCTTGTCTCAAGGAAAAGTAACTTTGAATTATGTACATTTTCATGGAGAAAACGGAATCTTTGATAAGCTCACCGAAACTTTAAGTGCTTTGCACGAACATTGTCTTGCTGTATGCTAGAGCAGAGAGTTATGTTCTTTTCTATCGTTATTCTCTTGAAGAAATTCGCCAAACAAGTGCACGTATACACTTTTCATGCATACAAAGTGCATTTAAATAGTTTGCCAACGACGATGACGTTGAGGCAGCAGTAGAAGCGACGAAGAAAAGGCTCTCTTAAAACAAAGCAACCAAGTGAAAAGTTGTTGTGCGGCGAAGCTAGGAAATGAATGGATAAGACCAGAAACTTGGTGCACACTGCACACACACACACACACACATTTTGTAGAATATGAACGACGACGACGGCACGCTCAAGATGCGAGAAAAACAATTTAGTCCAAACAAATACAATTTTCGTTTACAGTTAGTTTGGTTGGCTCAAGCGGGAGGCAGAGAGAGAGAGCACATGGTTGTAAACGATATCGAAACGGGGAAATAATTAAAATTGCATAAGTTGCATAAAATATCTTAGCACTTATATCGTAAACAGCAGCTATTATGTCTCTGTCTATTCCTATTTGAACGTTGGATGGCTGGGGCGCTTCGAAAATTTACGACATTGCTGCTCATGCTAATAATTTTTGAATCTCCGGGCGAGAAATGCAATACACTAACTAACGACATGACGAGCTTCATTTCGATTTTATGGCTACAGTAATGGAAACCATTCACTGAGCACAGTTAAAGTTTCGACAAGCAATGGTAAATCGAGTGTGAACGACAACTGCAAGTATAACAGTTTGGTTCAAAGAAACAATTGCATTAAATTCAAAGTCTTGAAGATTTTCCATTGAATTGTGTTTGCCTTTGAATTGGATTATTTTTATAAAGACATTTTTTTTGATTTCATCCTTGTTTGATATTCTGTTAAGTCACTCAAAAATTCGTAGCTGCAAATTCTCTTTCATCCATTTAATTGGCAATTCATTTGGGCGCCGACAATCGAAACTAACAGTCAAACTCTCCCACCACAACGTATCGACTTACTTGTGTGTGCTTACATAGTAACTGGGAATATTTTGCTTGCATCGAAAATGCCATTATTGAAATGGAAACAGCACAATAAACATCATGATTGTAATAAAATTTGCGAAGAAAGCAACCGCCTTTCCGTCATAATGAATTTCGTTTGTGGTAAGTTTATTCTGATTGATGGGCAAAAGTTTTAATGAGTAGAGGGAAAAATGCAAAGTTTCAACGATGACTGATTTCGGTCTTGCTTGTTGTTGTTGTTGTTTTTGCATGCAAAAAGCGAAAAAGTTTCAAGATTTCGGATACAATTATTCAAATAACGGAACTGATGCATGCAAATGTAAACAAACAATGCAAAAGTGCATAGAAGTGCTGCGATTTCGATTAAGTATGGCATGACTGCGCAGTTTGTGAAATAAAATTTCACTTCGCGGCACGGTAAGGCGGCGGCGAAAAATGAGCAGCAGCAAATGAAAAAGAAGAAATTCCTGTGCATACATTTTCATGAGCTATTCTCGGGTAAGAAATTAGCATATTTTTCGTTTGTTTGGCATTCGATGCGCGGTGACTTTTTACCATTTACCATTGTAGTGAATGAAAGCGTGGATTCGGTTTGCAAGCCATTCTCTCATTCGCTCGTTGAATTTGCAATCAGAAAAGTGGAAAATGTGCAAACGACGAAAATGCACTTTTTGTTGTCTAGATCCCTTTTCATATCCGTGCCCGTTCATTTCGTTTTAAAATTCAATTTACTTAAGAGGAAACACTTTTTGAGCTTTGTAAACGATGTCGACGAATTTCCATCGGTCGATATCAACATGACGGCAAAGGTTTCGTTGCCATTTTGCTCATAAGTACACATAATTGTTTTCCATTTCTTCGCGTTCGCTGAATGCCTTCCAACTTTGTGATTTATGACCAATTTATGCATGCGCCGTGCGATGCGACACCGACACACAAACACACACACACACTGTCTCTCAATTTTATAAGCATAAAAGTTTTGCCAGAAAGCGTTTGTCTTTTACTTTACTTTCAGCTCATTTTTAATGATCCGACCGACACACGCTCGTATTGGCAACGCCTAAGCGCGTAAAATGAGTTTGCATAATTTTAATGCATTTTACTTTATTATCGTTTTCCATTCATCATCCTTTCTCTCTCTCCCAAGCTATCTAATAGAGTCGATTCGATTGTACGGCACCAAACTCAAACTTCGACCAAAGTTTAGAAAAAAAAACTTTGCCGATTTTCTCCATATTTATGCGTAAATGTCAAAATAAATCATTTAATACATTAAAAATGTTGGCAGAACATTAACACAAATTCCGATTGTTTACAACATTTCCCTCTTATGTTTATGCCGTTGTATCGGCTTTTAAATTGAACACATTATTGCCAATGTGTATGGATGGCAAATCGAATGGAACGCATTAAATCAGCAGTCTTTAATAATGATAATCCGTGTTTATTTGCGGAAAATGAATGCTTTCAACGGTGTAAATAGCAGGCTTATAACCGTGATCTATGGCAAATAGTGACACAATCCATAAATCAACACAATACACAAACAATATACTATATCGCAAACAAGTTGCGTTTATTGCGCAAATGGCAATCGAAACAAATGATTTTCGGTCGGGTGTTCTGTGGTGATATTTATGGAAATTTTTACACTTGAATGACATTAATAGCACAGATTATTATATAATCATGAATGGCATACAAAATGAATACGTATCGCTGTTTATGACTGTATACGCCATGTGTAAACATGTAAATCTGACAGTACGGCTGTAATTGAAAGACAGGTCAAACAATAGTAATCCAAATAGCGATGCCGCTTCTCATGAAAGTCATGAAAAAGATGAGATAAGCTGAAGCTTCTATTCATGTTTGATTTAAGAAAGTTTATGAATGCATTTATTTTTACACAAGATCATGATCTTGGAGATTTGTTAAGATAGCATATCTCTAAGGTTCTCTCTTAAGAGAGAAATATTGTCAAGTTAAAATATTCTCCAATTTACGTTCTAAAATGGTCACTGCAAAAATAAACAAAGTTCATACGAAAAACCGTTAGGATTCGCTTATGTACACTTTCACGAATTGAAGATATGAATTGCACATTTTTTCGATGTTGAAACGTTTTTTTCCATCGAAATTCAGTTGCAGTATGATATTGCCGGTATTGACAGCATGCTTCATTGCATTTGCAAACCAAGCGATGATTGAATTGTGCATCGTATTCATCTGTGTCTTTTGAAATGTTAATAGGAAATGTCTACATGCATTAGCTTAACGTTATATTTAAGCAAATGAGCAGAGATGCAGCGTGAATCTGCTGTACAGAAAGTGTAAACATTGCGCTCTACGCAGCAAAGTCTTTTGTAAATTTGCGATGAAAGATAGCTAGATGTACAGTGCAATTTGTGCATAAAGCAACGCATTTAGCAAGCTAAATTCAGTCACATGATGTATGCATTTGACTTGGTGTCGAGCTCTCAACAAATAACGACACGGCTATTATTATTATTCGCAAGCGGCGATTTAAATGATGCATTGAAAAAATGTTCATTTCACGCATGTGAAAATGTAAATGACTTTCGACGTCAATTTTCTCTCACTCTCTAAAATAAAAATCGGTCGAGTGAAATGCATTTTGTCGATGTTTATCGTATACGGCTATTGATCGTGTCACGTGAAAAGTCTTTTTTGTTGTAGATATTGGAATATAAAAAAAAATTATTACGAACCTGCATTTGTGGTGTTTGTGATGATGTTGGCGTTGTGGCCGTCGTTGTCGCCTGGCTTGTGGCGTTTGATACAGGGCTTGCACTGCCACCCAGCGTAAGCGGTCCGTTGCTACGAAGAGAAAATGTTTATTTGAATGATCAAAATCAAAATCAACAGAGTTTTTGAGGAATGCGCGGCGAAGACGAATGGACGCCTGTTGTTACCTGTGTGGCAAACCAGTCGATGGGAAATCCGTTTTTCGTGGTACTGTTGGACTAGGCGCAGTCGTTGCAACTTGTGCTGGAGTTGATGCAAACACCACTGAGCCTCCATCAGAGCCCTGCAAAGCAAAACAAAACAAAGGAATTAAATCAGTGATTCAATGAAAACGCTTTCAATGCCAATCGTTTTTATTTTTCAGTTGCATTTATCGAAAATAATCTTCTCAATTATCTACCAACTCGCTTTGGCATGACCTTCAATTCAGATAATTAAAATAAAGAGACATGCAAAAATCGACGCGATATTATTTTTGATGCATGTTTACAATCAAATTGCCATTTACTGTGAATCACTGAAATAGTGTTCAATAATTTCGATTAATAAAAAATTGTAATGTTTTCATTTAATGGATCCCCCGTCTTGTGTGCTCGTTGCCGACCGTATGAAATGGGAGTTATTTCTTTTATGATAGCAATTGAATATCGTGTACGTGTTACGACCAACAAGTCGCAATTAAACCGCTGTGAATATCAATGTTTTTTCGTCTAAAATATCAATGTTTTTTCGATGTTTATTGTTGTGTTTTTCGTTTGTCCCGCGCACGATTTTACCAAACACTAAAATCGGAATTGCTTGTTAAATCGGTGTGTATATGGAATATGTATGATTTTCAGTGTGGTGATTATATTGACAAAAATATTAAATATTCCATTTTTATTGCAATCGATAACCGGGTTCTCAGTTTGTCAACGGCAATAAAAGACAATATTATGGCCTAACGATCAATCGGATTGAAGTTTGATGTGTGCGACGGTGGAGGTCATTAAATGTAGAAAAAATCGTAAATATTATTTAGTGTTTGATTTTATGGTATAATCAAATTAAATGGTTAACTATAAGTGAATTGCTTGAACAATTTTTCTTTTCGGTTTCTAATGTTTTTGAACGCAAATCGTTTTCTGGTTCATTTCGATCCATTTTAACCGCGCTTTTATTGAATCTCCCATCAAACTTATGCCATAAAATGGTTCAATTTTCGAAATTGGCTGAGCTAATAACATTTTGAGGCTTTTTTTTTCATTTCAATTAATTCATTTCGTCAGTGATGTCATTCGAATAAAAACCAACTATTAAACGCTTGAATCATAAATGCCTATTTTTATATCGCCCAACTAGTCTATTCTCAATTTTGTATTTTTGCGTCGGAAATTTTTATTTTTGTACACAGCGAACAGCAGCGAGGGAAGAAAAAAAAACAAGTGCAAATTTTAATTGATTTTTATTAAATAATATGTATCTCTTTGCTCAAGTGCCACAAGCAATCATGAAACATGTAATTAGTTGCCTAAACGGTTGTTTTTTTCTGTTCGCAAAAAATTGCGGACGGCGGAAAAATGCATTTGATCATTAAATCGAGAGTGTGAGCTGTGTGTTCGAGTTTTTTTTGTGTGTGTGTGTGTATGTGTTTCAATGTGTAAGCGATTTGGTTGTTTATTCAGCAATTAGCATAGTAATTAATTGGGTTGTTGAAGCGTAAAATCGTATTTAAATGGGATTGAATAATAGATTTTGTAAGCCGAGCGGGAGCGAGAGCAAGAATGAGAGAGGGAGAGATCGAGATTTTGTTGATGGGTAAAGTGTAATTTGCATTTTCGCCCATAAAATATGCAAGATTGTCGATAAAACGAGAACAGTAAATTAATTACAAACACAGCGTTGATAACATAGTCTGTAGCAAATTAATGGAAATGCATTCAGGTTGCAATGTGAACAGCAACAACCGAAGCAACACATAATCAACACAGCCATCTAATCGAATACTTAACAAAGTTTTTAACGTTAATTACTTTATATAGCGTAAAATCAGATTGATACTTTCAAAACAGCAATCACATAATATAAATGCATACATATATTCAGTGGCATGAATTCGATAAGAAAAGGTATCTCTGGCTCTCTACCCGCTCGTTCGTCTTAAAATACAGATCTAAATGCTCAAGATTACGATTCGTGTTTGAGAATGAGATAGAAAAAAAATGTCGACAGTTTGCTGCCAACAGTCATCTATCAGTTCCATCCTGCTGTTTCTCTTCGATTTCGCTCCTAGCATGTTAAAATGAGTGGTGAAACCGCTTCAGCTCCAGCTATCATTGGAAAAATATCAGCAGAGCCGTGTCGGTTGGCTTACTCATAAAAATACCAGAGAAATCATTGACGTTGTAATTTTTTGTTGTATGTACTAAATTCTCAAGTGTGTTGGTGTCTTTCGACACGCTGCCATATATTGTGGTCGATTTGGCGAATGCAATAAATGAGAAGATGTTGAAAGAGCGATAAGTTTTTATTCTTTCCGCCATTTCAAGAAGCAAACGCAAAGAAAGAAAAAAAACAGTAAGAAAAATGGTCCATCTATCTGATTCAAAATGTAGTCAAGCGACGCTTGAGCTTCTGGCGTACACATAGCTTGTTTGTATGTGCGTTTGTAAACGATATCTCCTTATTCAATCTTGAGTCGTCGCATCCAGCAAATGTGTGAAAATATGCTAAATGTTGATATTTCCGATTTGTGTACGATGATCAAATCCGCACAGAAGCAGTCGGCACACTGCTGCTGCTGCTGGCGACACCGACGACGACACCGAATAAAAAATGTACATGAATTCGATGATATATTTCAATCCAGTGCTAATGGTATGTAAGTATTTTGTTTTCCTCATCGTATTTTCGACATGGTTGCGCTTTTTTCCGCTCTTTCTCTCTCCTTTTGTTGGGATTTCATCGTTGTCATGGTCGTCGTCGTCATCGTTGGTTTTATGATGCGTAGCTGTTGAAGGGAATAAAAATCCATGCCATCAAATTTGCCTTTGGTTTGATTGCGTGTATTTGCTAGTGCAGTGGGATGGAGCGAGCGAGAGAGAGAGAGCGAGCATTCGCTTGCTAACGATAAGATTACATTGTCGATTTTTGCCGTTAATACACACATTGCTCAATTGTAAGCTTTATTCACACCGAATTACCTCCATAAATGGTTATATTTCGCCATAATCCCAAACAAAACCAAAGAGGGAACGACATAGCGAACGACGCAACCGAAAAGCCTTTGTAGAACGGATTTTTCTTCCTTTTTTCGCGTTTCTTCTGACTGAAGATTGCGAATAAATAAGCTCCAGCAAGTAAATCGACAGCATCGCACACACACAAATAAATCAAACTTGAATAACACACAATCGGAGCATGTGGAGCGAGAAATGAAGAGAGAGAGAGAGAGAGAGAGAGAGGAAAAAGGAACTCGGATCGTATAAAGACTTCAATTTGGTGAAAAGAATGGAAAGCAATGTAATCGTAAAATGTACGGCATGTGTGAATTGAATATGCGAAGCGAAACCAATTCGGAAATACTCAAGCACTGCCACACATTCGCCCCATGAATACAATCAACCGCGTTTTTTTCTCTCTTCTTTTCTTTCTCTCATTGTATACAAAAGACAAATTTACTTTGAACCAAAACTGTGTGTGCGCTTTGTGCCGAATGGTTTTTCTCGATCCTCAAATGCTTCAAACATATCGACGCATTTATAACTCCCATAAGAAATGAAAATACACTTAAGCTGGCTTTGGATCACCGACACATAGTCATGCGAGTCGATGGTGGCGGTTGCGACGACGATGAGAAAAATATGTGAAAAGTTTTCTTTATTGCCACCACTGCTGCTGCTGCTGCTGTTGTTGTTTTCTCTTTGCTCATTCGGCACAACGAAGCCATCAACTCCAATCGAAATAAATAATAAATAAAGTTGGGAAAAAAGAGGAGAAACGAAATCCAAAGAGGAATTGGCGTCGGAAGGAAACGACAACGAAAGCACCAAATAAACATGCTCAAAGCAAAGTAAATGCCAAAATGTAAAGAAAGAATTTGCGATGTGAAATGTGTGCACACACAATACACAAAAATGGCAATTTCTTGCCAGAAAAAGAAGAAAAAAAAACAGCGACAGCACTGTATTCGGTTGTCGATAACAAGGTACGACGTTAAATCCGAATGATGAACACAGTAACTGTAGTATTATTGGCAACGTAAATCCCAACAAAAATTACATATAAATTTTCGCCATTTGTTCGGAAAATCCAATGCTTCAATTTCCCGAAAGGGAAGCGAGAAAGAGAGAGAAAAGGATTTTATGTGTCAGACGGTTGGTTGTACATATGAAATTCGGTTTAGATAGCATATTTTGCCATTTATAGTATAGTGTATGTGTGGGTGTGTGATGTGTTTTCCGTCTTTTAGGCTCTTCACAATTTGAGCGACGAATGAGTTCGGTTGGAATGTGCTTCAATTTAGCATTAAATGTGATATATTTGCTAGGGCAATCATGTCAAATCAGTCAAGTGGTAAATCCACTGATGGCATAATGCGATAATGGAGGATATGTTGAGTTTTTTCTTTCTTTCTTCTTTCATTCTTTACATATTTTTCGTCACCCTTCAACTTTTCCATCTCCGGATGCGGTTCTTCGTTTCAGCATTCGCAAACACGACCGGTTTCATTATCTTCCATCGTCGGATATACGATGCTGGTGCCAATGTTTCCTTCGTTATCATCACAAATCACGTATAGATCAATACAAATACTGATTTGATAGCAACATATCGATTAGCTATCGACATATACGACACACACAATGCTAAGCGCATTGATTACGATTCAATCCATTCAAAGGTTAAACGTCCGCTTTAAATTTATTCGTCAAAACAGACAAAAAAAAACGCTGCACTGCATTTCTCAATTGACTGTTGTGGTTTCACTTGAAAAGGTCACTCATGCAACAACGACGACAAAAATAATCAATGCACATCACACTTGTCCCAACACAGAATATAATAAACCACATACTCTATAGAGTAAAAAAGAGTAAACTCGTCTCGCACACAGCAAAAAGCTGAAAAAAAGTCGACGCTGGTGAAAATCAAATAGCAAAAAGCATTTACACTTGAGACTGAAATGCATGAAATTGGCATTCGCATTCGCATTCAATGGAAATTAGATGGCATTGTTTGTTGAAATAAAAAAAAAAGAGTAAGCAGCAGCATCGCACCGCATAAAGTAATACTAGCTAATTT